CAAGGAGATACAACTTCTATAAAAAACCAGAGCTGGTGCTAGAGTGCTCACTTAAAGCTGAGTCTCAAATACATATGAACAGTTCACTGTTCCTAAACACAGGCTCTCTCATAATGAATACAAACTTATTTTAATGCACTTCGCAAGTCACACAGACTAAAGTACAGCTGAATTTAAAGTAACATGTATTTAACACTGGAAATGCCTACAAGGTTTAGAACAGCATATACAGTTAAATAATAAATTTTAGCTAACATTAATAGGGAGTGTTCACATCGTTATGTAACATTAATGCTATATTGAGCCATCTAGATTATACTCATTTTCTTTTTGTACAACTGCCCCCCATCAGCAACTTCATCTTCTTTTTCATTAATTTTCTGTAAATCCATCACTATTCACCCTCCAAACTCCAAAGGGTTATAAACTGGTGTGATTACTTCTTGTCACATTCCAGTTCCAGCCTCTTGCTCACCACAGCCACATAAAAGACAAGGTTCAAGCCTCAGCCTCTGGAGTCCAGCCCCACCCTCTAACATCATGTCTTGGTCCCTGTGCCACAGGCCTTCCCTTCTTCAGGTGACAAGGTCCCCCAGCACCACACCTACGAGGGCCTGTGCCTTGTCCCACAGGGGTCTTGCCTGCCTGGGACAGCCCTTCCCCTCTGCTCCCTCAGAACCCCTGCCAGACCCTACTCCTCTGCAGAGCCCCTGGATATATGCCGCTGTGTGGCTCAGGGTTTCTGCAGCTCCCTGGGCATCACTGAGAGTTCCTAGCCAGCTGTCTAGGCACAGAAGCAGCTGAGCAGATACGACTGCATGGTACATCATTTCACAGAGAGAACCTTCAGAAGGGAGACAGTCATGCCTATGTGCGAACTTGGCAGCAGTTGTCTGCCGGCTCTAAGTCTAAAGCCAACCATCGAAGTCCAGGCTGAGACCACCATGGCCAACACCACCTCCCAAGCCACTCACCCCACTTGCAACCCACAAGCACGGGGCAGGCCGCATGTCTTGTTCGGTAGTCACCTTCTCCACTTCGCAAAAGGTTGTACCAAAATACAGCTGTGCCCTAGGAGGAGACAGCCTCCTGTCAGAAGACATCCTTGGACACCAGGTTCAGAGACCTGACCACAGGCACAGAGGAACCTCTGCCCTAAGCAGAAAAACCCTCACTTTCCTGTGTATAGGAAACAGGGCTCTGGGGCTCTTCTGATAGAGAAGATTCCTGGAATGTACTTCCCTTCATGGTGACTTGGGAGGTTTAGAAATTCACCCACCCCTGAGGAGACTTCCCTCCTGTCCCTCCTGCCTAGGTAGAAGCTGGACCACAAGTCCACAGTGCGTGTAGGAAGCGCTAAAGGCGCATCACAGCGACAGTCAAGTCGGGCAGGAAATGGGGCTGGGGGTCACACACAAGATCTGAGCCCTGTGACATCTGACCACAGGACTCAGAGCTTACCTTCTTAGGCCAAAGTGCAGCTCCCAGATCCGGGAAGACGGTGGCTCCACCAGCTTCTACATCACTCATCTGAGAACACACAAGGCACAGAGCTTGGCCCCTCTCCCCAAGGATCTCCGAACAACGAGCCCTCAAGGCTGCGACGAGTATGCAGAGCGGCACCCTCTGCGCATGCGCGGCTCTTCCGGGGCCAGGAAGGCCCTTTTCACCCGACTCGGTCTGCAAGGCCCATTGGGACAGTCTTGCGCTGCGGGCTTTCAGCGCTGAGGCCCACTGGAGACTCACACATGAGCTCTGCTTGAATGGAACAACCTGACCCTGTACGCAGAAAAGGCAGATCCTGGCCCCACCCCTGCGGTCCCTATCCAGCCTGGACCTTGCGTACGCCACTGCCCGGCAAACTGCCTGACCAGGAGCTCCCTGCTGCTTCTAACACCAGGTGTCCTCCCCATAGGAGCTGTTTTTCTGGCTCTAGCAGCCCACTGCTCTCGTCAAACCCCCACTTTCCCAGAACAGCCACCCTCAGGTGGGCGGGGGCCTCAGAGGCCCTGCTCTGGCCCACAGTGAAGCTTCGAACCGAACTCTCTGCGGAGCCAAACGAAGGCCACACTGGCCCACAAGGGCGCGCCTCGACTCACACTCAAGTACCACTCCCTCCTCATTTCTCTTTCACTTCAAGCTATTGCCGATTGTGTCCGAAAAACTGGAGCTAAAAAACATTTCCGCAGGACACACACCAGACGGACTGAAGGGCACTCGACAGACACACGGTAAACGAAAAACACGAAAAGCCCCTGGGGCCTCGCACAGCCCTGGGGATCCGACGCAGGGAAACCTCGAGGCTCACTCACTAGCTTCTCCCTTCAGAGCACTGGGTTTCTCTCTTTGCAACATTTCAAGCTCCTTCTCCTTTCTGCCAGAAACAGGTTCCACCAGCTGACTTCCACCCAACCTTCAAGGGGGGCCTTCTCTGAACTCCAAGCCTGAACTGGTTTTTCACGGCACTGTCTCAATGGAAACTAAACATCGATCTGTCCTCTGTTCAATGAAAGCCTCCCATGTGAGACCTCACGCGCCACAAGAGGAGACGTGCACATCCCGCTCAGCAGCGTGCACACCACGTGCACATCCCGCTCAGCAGCGTGCCCTCAGCACAGTCTCTGTAACCACATAATGAAAATTTAAAAGGAAAAGATGAACTTCTGGTTCTAGGTTTCTCGACAGCCTCAGCGGTGTCTCTGTAGAGTAGGCTCTCCTAGCAGGGGAAGGGAAACTGTTCCTCACGAGAAAGGGAAAGACGACAGCCTTTGGAGGGAGTAGAGGCAGCACTGGGCACGGGAGGCAGGCACCAGCCTCTGGGGAAACCAAGGCCGCTTTTACCTCAGAGCACCTCGTGGCTGCCTCTTCACGCTGCTACCAAGAAGTCACCCTCTGAAGCGCTCACCCAAGAGCCAGTGTAGCGCCGGGCCCACCAAGAAGCCAGCATAACATGCTACAACACGGGTGAACTTTGAAGAGATTACGCTAAGGGAAATACGCCGGTCACAAAAAGAGAAATACTCTCTGACTCTATGTGCACGAGGTCATGTGGTGTGAGCTACCAAAATCACAGAGTGGTGGCTGGGGCAGGCAGCCTGGAATCACTGTTTAGTGGGAACAGAGTTTCAGTTTTACAGCATGAGTAGGGCTATGGTGATGGATGGTAGAGATGGTCACGTTAACATCAGGAATATATTGAATGCTGCTGAAGTACACTTTAAAATGGTTAAGGTGGTAAATTTTAGGGTGTATGTATTTTACAACACATTTAAAAAGCTGAAAACAAGTAGCCAGGGATAGCCTTGGGGAGTGTGGACGGAAGGCTACGCAGACGGGAAAAGGTGCCAGCTCCCTACTCTTCGAGAGGAGGTGAGGGACAGAGGAAGCAGTACGCAGCCGCGGTGGGTATCAGCCCTGATGGGCTGGGATATGAGGCCTCTGGATCAGGCCCCCTCAGACCCCGAGAGCTGCACACATCATACTCACGTAGTTTAGGAATGTGGCCACACGGTTCCCAGTCCCTAAACGCTTGAAAGCATCTCGCTCATGGTTCTATAAAATTAAGTGAGAGTGAAACAGGTGGGCCTGGACCCAGTACTTACGTAGTTAAGAAACGTCGCTAACCTATTCCCCTCCGTTTTGAGGCCGCTGTCAAAAGGTCGCTGCAATAGACAACAACTTTCACCCAAGTTTGCAACCACCTTGCTCCCCACCCAGAGGTCTGGGGCCTAATGGGTCAGGGGAAGCCAGGAAGCATGCACACCATTCAACAGCCTACGACGCAGACCAAGGCGACACTCGAGACTCTGCCTAGGGCACGGGGCAGGGGAGGAGTACAGGAAAAATTTTCACAAAGACCTAGTGAGGTCCTTTGCCTTAGAATCCGGGCAAAGAGCACCGTGTTAGGGCGGGGGAAACACTCCCACATCTACAGGAAAAGAGCCAGGTTCCCCCGGGCTCCCCAGGCCCTGTGGTTCCAGATTTGGGCTTCACCAGTAACAATCAGTTTCCCCTGGTGAGGCAGGAGGTCGGGTGGAGTGAAGTGGAGCCTGAAGTGGTTCTAGGAGCTCCGGCCTTCTCTAGTCAGTCAGGGAGGGGCCACTGGGCTGCACCTGTGATTTGGACCTTACCCTGGAGAAGTCAAAGTGTGGCTCATACTGTCCTCCCATTCCATAATTTGCAACCTGGTGAGAAACAACAGCATGGATCTTGTCAGCAGCATGAACAGCCTCACAGCAACCCATCTTCCCAAGGGTACCATCTCCCTCAGCCTGAAGACAAGCAGAGCCCAAGAGCAGCCTGTAAAGCAAAGGATAACCACGTTCAGCCAGCACAGGCAGCTCAAGGGTAGCAAGCATCTCTACAGCCACGTCAGAGAGGAGGGCCGCTGCAGGACAACTGTGGTTTCCAAGAACAGAGGATTGACCATCCTCAGGCGCCAGCAGCAGCAGAAGCTTGTCTCCTCCTCTTTCTCTCTCTCTCTTCATTTTTTTTGAGACAGAGTCTTACTACATAGCACAGGCGGGCCTGGAACTCACAATCCTGCCTCAGCCTCCCAAGTGCTGGGATTATAGGCATGCACCACCATGCCTAGGTAATGGGGCCTTTCTGGAGGCAAGCCCCAGCCTAGGCCCTGTTTGGGAGACAATGAGAAGGTACTCCTGAGAAAATCTCACAATAACCTCAAGACTTGGGTTTTTTGTGTTTTTTGTTTCTTGAAACACGGTCTTGCTATGTTGCCCAGGCTGGACTTGAACTTATAAGCTCAAGAGATGGTCCTGCCTCAGCCTACCAAGGAGTAGAACCACAAGCACATACCACCACACCAGGCTTGAGGCTATTCCTTTTATCTATTTATTTATTTATTTCTATTTTTTGGTACTGGGGATCGAACTTGGGTCCTTGAGCTTTTGAGGCAGGCGGCGTGACCACTGAGCTAAATCCCCAGCCCCTGGGGCTATTCTTTTCAAATACTACTTTTCCACCTACTCTGTATCTGGTACTGCCCCTGCCACTGTCTCCCAGCGTCTCTTTATAATCAGCCTAAAGGGGCAAGCATATCTCACCCTCCCCTCCTGCAGGGTCCACCACATGTAGTACTTCTGCATCCAAGCAAAACAGCAGGACAAGGGTGGCCAAGAACTGCTACACCATCTCACCACCCCAGAGTGAGCCCGGACCTGCAGGGAGACCTGAGCCACGGCAGCCTTGGCAACCACCCGGAGTCATTAATAGGGCTGGAAATTGTAAATGCCTTTGAAACGCTTACAGCACAATGCACATTCTAAATCACAATGGTTACTTTCTACAGCAGATACAATGAGAGATGAGGTTAGAGACTCATGGATCAACTTGGGACCACCAATGTCTACCAGGAAGAGCTACTGTGTCTCGCCAGAACCCTAAAAACCTTTGGGGCTCTGCTATTAGTTCTCAGAAAGTTGGTATCTTTCTGTATGTCCTTTTTGGCGATTCCAATAGTCAAGTAAGACATACTAAAACTGGGGATTTAGCTCAATGGTTTGGCCGCCTGCTGCACAAGCACAAGGACCAGAGTTCGATCGCCGGCACCAAAAGAAAAAAAAAAAAAAGAGATACTAAACTGGCACTAATGGACACCTTTAGTTGTGGGGGAAAAACGGGATGATGAATCTTTAAGAAAGGAAATCTTTTTGTTGCAGTACAAACACTATTTGCGAAATATGAGGAAATGCAAAGTTGGACATTATTATCTTCAGCACCTATAAAAATCACAATTTTGATATGAAGAATCAGTGGATGAAAATATGCTGTCATCTCTGGTGCATCAGCCTTCGAGTTCCTGTGCACAGGACAGGCAGGTGGAGCAGCAGGTGGACATAAGGCTGGGGAGAGTTTAAGAAGGGAAAAGCTGGATAGGGCAGATCATAAACTCCTACTAGAAATGCTTCCACAAAGACATCCACTGTAGTCCAGAACTTGAGGAAAATGTTAGGCATGCCTATGACTGGTATGCCCCAGCACTTAAGAAAGTAGCTGCTTGTTGCTAGGGCCTCAAAGCACAACCAGTTTGTAACACTTCCACTCACTGGATAGAGTGCTTAAACTTTCAGATCCTAGGTAGGGAAAGAAGTTGGTCGCTATAGCTGGCTCACCTTTTAACAGTTTGATCACGATGCTGCTGTCACTGCACCTACTCTCCTTAAGAATATCCCCAAATAAGTGCAAAAGCTATGGGAACTTCTGGTTTCACACCAAGCAGATTCTTCACCCTAGCACACCCAAACCCCAGATTCATACCTTTAGTAACAAGCAACTGTATGTCAAAACTGATTCCCATGAGGTGGTATTCATGTCAATCTTTATGCTTTTGTTGTTACAGGATAGAGTCGGTCATGTGAAAGACATGGGCATTCATGATGCGGAGGTCAAGTGAAGGCAGAAAAATAAAAGGATTAGAAATCACTTTCCTTATGAGGCTGAGACATCTTTGAGCCAGAAGTCTTGAGTCTTAGAGAATTATGGAGGCGCAGCATCTCCTCTATGAGACAGGCCCTCAGCCAACTCCCAAGAAAGCCTCAACTGCCCATCTTCCCAGAGGTGCACAGCTGACATCAATTAGAGCGGAAACAGCGCTGACAGCAGGAGAGCTGCAGCTCCTTCGCAGAAGCCTGCAGCATTCCCAAAGGGACCCTGAGGCGGGCTGGTGCTGGTGCCTCACCGCTTGCCACACTGCAAGCAGTCCCTGTTGAGCGAGCATTCAGGGACAGGTGCTAAGCCCAGATCAAAGCTTTCATAATACTATTGGCTGGCAGAGGAAATGCCAAGGCAGCTCCTAGAGGAAAAATGCAAACAAAATGGTGTCTCAGCACCTGGCATTTATGGGCAAGATCTCCTCAAAGAGCCATGAGTGTAAGAGGCCCTCCACCGAGAATTTGCACATTCAGACCCCGGTCCGTAGAGAGGCCTGACAGGGGAAGCCAAGGGTGTAGCAGAGAAGCCAGTCAGTCCATGGCCAAAAGCTGCTGTCTTCTGAGGCTGAGGGTGAGAAAGGGTGACAGGCAGCTGAGAAATTAGCCAGGAAAGCAAGTGGGACGGGTCTTGTCTATTCACCCCCACGGTCAGGGTATGAAACCAGTCAATCAAGCCGACTGCTGTCTGATCAGGGCCACGAGAATCCTCAACACTGGCTTTGACATGAAAGAAGCAGTGGCTGATGTCTTAAAACAACCAAAAACTAATTGTAAAAACATTAAAAAACCAAAACTGCTCCAAGAAGACATGATTCAAGATAAGCCCACAGGGACGAAATGGTGACAAGGCAAGTGGGGGGAGCAGCAGAGGTCCTCTATTGATGAGCTTGTCTGGAGAATTTATTCAGAAATTAGAGAATACTAAGCTAAGCTGAACTAAATTATTTCAAATGTTCCTAATACTGTTTTCAAGGTAATCAGCATGTTTTTGAAAACTCTGGTGGGCTTCATACAAATCCATAATGATGGCCTTCAAAATTGGTTTTCTGATTGCTGATGCAGCTACCTAAAGAAAAAGAATGACTGCTGATTTGCTTCAATGTGTCCAGACAAAGGGTCAGTAAATCTTTTCCAATTTATCATTAGTCAATATCCTAATGAATCCACGGCTGTTCAGACCCAAATGCGAAGTCTAAAGGTGACAGCTGCTATCTTTTTTTTTTTGGTACCAGGGATCAAACTCCAGACCTTGCGCTTTCGAGGCAGGTGGGAGAACCACTGAGCTAAATCCCCGTCCCAACAGCTGCTATCTTAACAGGAAGTCTGACCCGGGAGATGCAGAGCACTGTAGAAAGACACCAGAGAAGCTCTGCCGTGTCTCAGGGCATCAGTGTTAGGAAGGACCCAGAAGTCCCACTGCTCGGGAGGGCACACAGCCAGCGCTGAGACACACTGAAGGAGCTCTACCCAAAACCTCCTCTCATCCAACGCTGCCACGTTTCTCCAGTCACCTTTAAAAAACAGCAGAAAGCCAAGGCCCCAGCAGGAGTCCTAGGACAAGAGCATTCCACCTTCACCAGACAGCTAGTCCAGGCCTCTCATTCTCCTAGCAACGGAACACTTTGCTGTCTCTCAAGTGCATTTGACTATGACACAACCATAACCTCTAGAGGTATTTTTAGTCCTCTTAGAAATGTCCCTGGAACAATTCAGAATTTGAGCTTCTGAAATCAGGAATATATGAATGAGCCTGCCGTGCTCCCACTGGTTGTAGCTCCTAGCATACTTGGGCACACGGTAGATGCTTAATTGACCCCCAGAGCACTAAACTGTTGAATGTGGCAGGCGTGGTTAATCTTGGTTTCCCAAGATGGGAGGTACCGTGCAGTTGTACAGTTTATTAGCTAGCCTTCTGACCTTGGGAGCCCACCTAGACAGATACGCCCCCTTCCCAGCTCCCACAGTCCCAGGGACAGCCGTACCTGTAATAGTTCTGCAGTCTGTACTGTTAGCCCTGTGATATACTGCATCCGGCGATTGACTCGGGCCACAACAGGGTCATCGTCTTCCTCCAGCCAGGAGCTGGGCCACAAGAGAGCAAAGACAATGGGGAAGGCGGCCTTAGACGGGGTCCTGTGCTGTCTTGCCAACCTCAGGGCCAGGACTGGGTACAAGGTGAGTGCTACAAGACGATGAGGGGGTCCCAGCAGGCAGGGTAAGCCAGGCCACCCTCCCTCAAGAGGCACGGGGAGCTCTGGAGCTGGGACTCGAGCAGCCACCCCACCAGCACCACCTCTGCTTACCTTTTGGAAACCCTGTAGCTGGCGACAGTGAGGACCCCTGTCTTGGGATCACGTACGGTGGCTCGTGCAAGCTGGAAGTAAGAAGAAAAGGCAGACTTATCCTTTTCAGCCTCGTGTGTTTTTCCACATAGCACCAGCACCAGATCTGCCAGCCACATTTGTTGCGGGGAGCAGCTTTGTATGACGTGGCTCAAGCCAAGACCCTATCGTCCTTTTTGTAAATATAACAATAAGACACAATTTCATAACAAAATAATAAAGTAGTAAGAAGACACAGACAAAAGATTCTACCTCACAAAAAAGAAACACACAAACAAAGAAACAAACAGATAATTACACAAAACTTTCTTTTCAGGGCCAGGGATTTAGCTCAGTGGTTCTGGCAATGCCCTCACAAGCGCAAGGTCCTGAGTTCGATCCTCAGTACCAAAAAAAAAAACTTTCTTTTCAATGAACTAAGAAAAATGAGTACTACAGATGAAACAAATTCATCCTGTACGTCAGATTAGAGCAGCAGTCTGGGGCAGCCACTTTCCCTCTCTGGCCACTTAGCCCAGTCTCTCAGGACTCATCCTTCCTCCTACCTAGGTCTGAGCTGTCTGCACAGTTATGCCAATGTCTCTCCTCTACACATCCATGCATCTTCCCGAACAGCTCCCTTCCTTGCAGTCCCACATACCACTGAGCTTAGCTGTTCCCGCCGTATTCAGAGTCACCATCCCTGGGCCTCAACTTGTGTGCTTCTCTTGACTCAGTCAAGGCCCACCATCCTTCTGAGCCACCGAGCACTCTCCGGCTGCACCACCTCACACTGGCCTCCCACTGCTGCAAGGAGGAAAGGCAGCACCGCTTTCCCCCACCCGGGAGCCTCACACGGTCAGATGACAAAACCACAGAACTCAACAAGTGAACCACTGCCTGGAAGCCATGCACCCACACACTTGTACGTACATGACACACACATACTTGTCCCTCATCTATCTCAGCTCCCCAGTGTCCTAAAGAGGCTTGATGACGGTGCCAGGAGGAACCTACTGCCTCAAGCCAGCCCTGAAGGACTGACTGCCCTAGTGCTCTCGCCCGGGTGAGACCAGAGGCCCAGATACGCCCCCCTCGACAGCACTTCCCTTGATTTCAGTGCATATTTGGGAAGTGCCTGCCGTGTACCGGGCACTATGCTGGGTGACAGACATGGCCTTTTCCTCATGTAACTCGATCAGGTGGGGAAGGCAGAAAACCAGCCAGGTAACTGTACCCCAGCATCACAGAGCTTCATGTTCTGGAGAAACTCAGCCAAATGCTCAATTATGTTTTCCTAGAGGAGGGGGCCGCCTGGCTGAGATCTTAAAGATAGAGAGGCGTCAGCCAAGTACGGGAGCACGGCAGGAACAGGGAAGGAGCAGTGATGCAGAGCCTGGCACTGACTACAGGTCACTGGGGATCAGAGGTTACGCAAAGCAGTGAGAGGAGAACGGCCTGAAGGCACAAGCAGGACTAGAACAGCCTCATGGCAAATGGAAACAAGGAAGACTTTGCAGGTGGGAGGGATAATCACAATTAAATGTAAGAAGGATCGAGTGTTGACTATGGAGGGGCTGGAGTGGGAAGAAGCTAGAGAGGAGGCCGCAGCAGTGGTCAGGGCAGGAGATGACAGTTCCCTGGGCCAGGAGGTTACTGAGGAATGAAGAGGAAAGACAGATTAGACGTCTTGCCTGGGGGTAAAACCGGCCCGCCTGGACACTGCACTGCTACACATTCTAATAACACGGCCAGCAGACTCGGGACAGACGGCTTTACCTGTGGGCCCTTCCTGAGCTCAGCTGAATACAGGTCCTCCCCGATGACAACTACTGCCACAAAAGACCCCGGCTAAACAGCTGAGCTGCAGCATGGGCCTGGTGCCCACAGAAAAGACTCCAGGCAGCTGCCCTTGGGGACAATCAGAGCTATTTTGAAAGAGGCCTGGGGACGCACAGGCAACTGCCAGACATTCCCCACAGGCCAAGTTAAGCTCATTGGCCCCACTTCAAAGCCAGAATAGCATCTGTCCCTCATGGCCTCTGGAAAGGGGAGGTCAGCTTATGACAGCCAGCAGGTTTGGCTCTTCACAGGGCTCCTGTTCAAAGAGAAGTTTTCCCAACGCTCACCCCTGCCCCCATCTGTCTGTCTGTCTGTCTGTCTCTCTCTCTCTCTGTCTCACTCTCTCTCTCTCTCTCTCTCTGTCTCTCTCTGTCTCTCTCTCTCTCTCTCTCTCACACACACACACACACACACACACACACACACACACACACAGAAAGGTTCTCCATGCCTAGGACTGAGTGACAACAGGTAAGGAATACTTCGGGAGATTTGGTATGATAGTGCCTCCCTCACCTGGAAACCCAAAAAGCAGTTTTCTTCCCTGGTGAACTTTGGAGGCAACCCTGAGAGTGGAAAGAGGGGTCCTGGCCACCATTCTCCACATCCCGACTACATCAGCAATGCCAATCATCAACCCTGAGGGACCCAAGCCAAGGCAGAACAGGGACTATGTCAGGTCTCTCCAGGAGTGCTAGGGCTCCTGGCCGCTCCAGTTCCATGAGGAGCAGAGCAATAAAGAATCTAGCTATGCTGGCCGTGGTGCACGCCGGTAATCCCAGCACTCTGGGAGACTGAGGCAGGAGGGCAAATTTGAGCCCTGCCTGGACAACTTAGGGAGAATCTGTCTCAAAAAACAGATATGGGGGGGGGGGCCCTGAAGATACAGTAAATGACAGTGAATTTTTTAGGAACTAGAAACAGAAGAATACTTGTATAACATGACATATATAGAAAACCAATAGCCAAGTGCTTGCTTACCAGCAAAATAGTAAAAGAATTTCCAGGAAACTCAGAAATAAGACAAATATGCTTACTGTGATAATGCTCTAGAGGTTTTGGGCAGTTCAGTAAGACAATAAACACAAAAGGAACTGTAAGTATGAGGAAGGAGAAAACAAAATTTTCCTTACTTACAGGTGATAACACAATGTGAGCAACCCGAGAAGGTCAGTGTAAAACCACAGAAGGACAAAGTAAGCTCAACCTCTCCTGTGACTCAGCTTGCCTCATACATGTGATAGTTAACGCATGTTAGCACTGAAGACAGGTTGGCCACACGTAAGAACTCAGTAAGAATCAGCTACCACTATGGGATCTATTTTAAAATCAATAGCTAAGCAGAGAATAGTAAGCTAATATAATAATCAGTTTCAACATGGAAAAAGAGTAAAGTTACAGTAACAAAAATAAACTACCTAGAGATAGACTTAACAAAAAATGTGCAAGGCCTATACAAAAAAGAGAAAGAAATGAATAAACAGAGCGGCCTGGAGAGTCCCTGGGGAAGAAGGCCCCAGCTGTACCGACTCTCGCCCCTCTGGGCCGCTCGGGTCACCTGCAGTCCTGAGGACAGAGCCACAGGGCCCAGCCGCACAGCGTACCACGCTGAAGTTTCTGAACACTCTTCCCACAGCAGCCCCCAGCCAGGTGAGCGCACGCTTCTCACTGCGGGCCTGCCCTGTTCCCATCACGACCCGCAGTTGCAGCACCTGGCTGTCCACATCGCTTCCCGGGTTTTTCTGCCCTGCTGGACCACGAACCCAGTGATACAGACTAACAGTGCCAGAGACGAGGCAGAGGAGCCGGGCCTGCAGGGCCCAGGGAGGACCCCAGGGATACCCACCTTGGGCTTGGCGAGCTCCTTGATCCTGTCGATCTCCTCGTCGGACATGACGTTGTAGTACCTGACGATGTGCGGGCTGTCCCACTCGTCCTCTTCTTTGAAGGGGGCAATCAGCAGCTCTGGCGCCCTGTTGCCATGGTGGTACCTACAGAAGAGCCTTTTCTGCCTCTGGGGTGTCTGGGGAGCACAGAGCGGCACACAGTGAGCTGAGTGGATCCTGGCCCTCGGTCCCAGTCCAGCACCTGCTCCCGCCCATACTGCCGCAGGAGGACACCAAAGCTCCTCCCCTTGACTGCCATGAAGGTGCCACCCCCACAATCACACCACGTTTCTTCTCCCTCAAGGTCACCTCAGGCTCCCGCGGCACAGGGTATTTGAGACCCTTTCACAGAGACCCAGCAGGTCTGCGGGGAACAGGGAGAAGCTCTTCCAGCTGAGGACCCGTGGGAGCCAGGTGGAAGGCATGGAAAGGGCAAGCACCTGCCTCACGGCCAGGCCTCTGTGAGGAAGCACTGGGACCGCAGGCCACATCCACACCAAGTCCAGGAAGAGCTTCGTCTTTACCACACAGGCTTCTCCCCACTTAGGACTGAAACTCTACCTGGGGCATTGGGCAAGTTAGTCTCCTATTCTACATCACGCCCACATATCAGCCTCAGCAATGCTGTCACTGACTTACAGTGTTAGCTCCAAGAACTGGAGCAGAGGCTAAGAGAGGCACCTACACACCGACCTGTCCGCCACAGCCCAGGAGCCCTGCCCGCCTCTGCTCTCACCAGTTTGACACCCTCTCCGCGGCAGAGGCTCTCGTACACCTCCCGCTCGGGCAGGTAATCCATCGGCCTGTCATACACGCCTTCCTGGGCTGCAAGCGTAGCTTCTGTCTGATTGGACAACGGTTTTCTTCTTTCTTCCTCCAACAACCGCTCAAAGTACCGCAGATTCCCTCCAGCTCGCTCATGGCTCGGGTCTAGAAAAAGCAAAGAACAGGAAGGAAAAGGAAATCGCAAACATCTGTTAGGTCACTTAGAGAAATTATCTGTACTTGGCTACTCTTGGTCACAGGGGAGAGAGGAACATCATCAAAGCAGAGGACACCTCGCCAGCCACCAGGGGGCATGCTTCTCAGGCATCCCTAGGGGGCCCCAAGGTCCCAGGTTCACAGCAGCAGTCCTGAGTCCTGTGTCCTCCTCACTCCTGCCTCTGTGCCACTCACAGCCACTCCCTGGAGTGAGTGCTACACGCGGCTCACAGCTATAAGGCAAGCTGAAATACTGACTATTCACAGCTCTCCGTGGCTATTCCAGGATGCTAAAAAGCAGGCATGGATTTCAGTGCCCCTCCTTGGATAACTGACTTAAACTGATGTTACATAGAACAAGAATTCAGGTATCCTGACTCCCTGGCCACAGCTCTTAGGAACTCACTTGACAGAATTTACAGAAGTCTTCTCACTGGTCATATGCTAGCTGACATCAGACTCGGGGCCCCATGGAAAGCAGCAGCCTAAGAGTCTTTGCTGGGGATGACAGTCCCGTGTTTTAGCAAGAGATTTTTCCTGTTTCTGTTTACAACAGATAGGTTGTAAAACTACACTGCTGTTGGCCTCCTTCAGTCCCACATCATAAGCAACAATGGCATGGCAAGTCCTGCTCTGAGACTCTGGGCCACTAACATAATAGCTGGGTCACTGTCACTGCAGCCACCCCGAAGTGCAGCTTGCCCCTCAAGCTGCTCTCGACACAGTGAAGGTTCCCCCTGCATAGTCATGGATGCACCACTGGACCAAGTCCTTACTGAAAAAGGAGCCTGCAGGGCCGGCCATAGATGGCACAGGTCTGGTCTGAGTATACCTGTCAGCAACGAGGCAAGAGCTCACACCAGGCCTGGGGTGCTAAGGAGGTAGCTGGCAGCTGGTTTAGATCTGAAGTCATTACAGGCCAGATGAAAGGTCAAACTGATTCAGTCCCAGGAGCAGGATCAAGGAGTATAACCGGCAGCGTCCAGTTCCTCTCCCAGCTCCCCAGTCTCATCTTGCCTTCCCTTAATCTCCTTACCCAGGGAGACCAGGCGCCGGGTAAGTTCCAGGGCACGGTCCAGGTCACCCAACTGGAAGACAGCATAACTAAGGTAGTCCAGCACCTCAGACTTGGCGACAGTGGCCTCTTCCCCAGCATCAAGCTGCTTTAGCACCTGTTCCATCCACAGCACCGTATGGTAATAGTCCCCTTCGTTGTAGGCTGAGCGGCCCATCCCAAAGCAGTCGTCTACACTCAGCATTGCCTGGTACTTGGTTCCTGCCGCAGAAGCCAACAGTCAGGCTCCAAAGAGCTGGAGGAAAAGTCCAGCCCCTGAAGGAGAGCATTATCCAACCAGAACCCCCACCAGGGCCTTAGACCTCACATCCTGGGGTCCCACTGACACCAGTGAGCAGACAGGTTGGTCTTGCCCTGGGCCACCGTTCACAATCTCCTAGCTTTAGACTCCCCTTTTCCCAAGGGGCCAAGTGCTCTGTCATGGGGGAGCTAACGAAGTCCAACAAGCAGTAGTACTGAGGACAGCAGAAAGGTGCTGTGGTTCAGGGATGTGTGGTTGGCAGCTGACCACGAGTCTGGGGTCTAGAAAAATTAGCCGAATAGAAGAAACAGAATTTAGGAGGCACCAAAAGCCACAGATGGGAATAATCTCTTGTAGGGAAGGGTCTGAGGAAAGAGTAGACAGGCGGCAGAGGCTGATACCCCGGGAATACCTGCACAGAAAAGACAGAACGAGTAACACCAGGAAGAAACTACGAGGTAGAGGAAACAGAGGGCGCAGGAGTGGAATGACAGACACCACGGCAGGCAAAAGCCAAAGCTGTTAGGTAACAGGAAGCTTGGTGAGCACCAGCTCGCCAGGCCTTGTGACCATGGATCACTTGCTGTGGGCTGAGTACTTAGAGTATGACCCTGAAGACAGTTTCAGGCCAAGAAGAAGCAGCAGGAATCAGGACAGGCTCGAGATGGAAAGGACTTCGCATACATGTGCGTTCCTCAGAGACTGAGAAAGCAGATCCTAGGGGGAGAAAGAGGCCTGTGACCCACCCTGAAAACAAACTCCCTTAACAGTCACCCGGACATGGCTGGCATGAAAGAAAGGCCTCAGAATGGGCGCTTTCTGCCGGAGATCCAAGACAGGTCTTTATGCAGAATGAAGTCCTTACTGCAGTAGGTTATCTACTTCAGAGACCAAGATCTGGTCACCCCAGGGGCTCAGAAGCACCCATGTGGGACAGGAAGTTTGGGAGATTAAACACAAGATGGAGTTGTAGGTAGGCCACGCAGTAGCAAGTTCCTGGGTCCCCTTTCCCCTCTCTGTGGGCCTCCACAGATCTCCTCTGGCCCAGGGACCTATCCTGATGGAGACTGCATAACACAGAAAGGTCGGCTGAAGCTCTGCCACGGCAGAAAGGTAGGTGTGAATAGGTCTCACCGTGCAACCACCCTCCTGTGACTATGGACAACTTACCGGGTCTTGGTCTCAGGCTCCTATCAAAACAGAGATAACATCTGTCTAAATCTATCAAAACAGAGACAACAGAGATGAACTTTTAGGCACTTGTGCCAAGGAAGAGATGACCTATGATCTTCAGGATGCTAATGACCGATAGCTATTACCGCCATGTCTCACCAAGAATGCCAAGAATGGTAAGAATGGCTCCCATGTGCCAACTTGAATGTCTACTCCCTTGAGAGCGACAGCCGAGCTGAGTGCCCAAGGGCAATCAGACATGAAGTAGTCCACATGTCATGGGTAAATTGCTCCTGCAGAGGGGTGGGGTGAACAAGAGAGCTAAGTGACAAGGAAGCTGAGAACAACAGGCAAGGAGGGAGGGGAGACAATGGAACCCCCAGGCCACACACAGGAGAAGTTTGCTTTATCCCTCAAAGTGAAGCATGGTGATCAGAACGCACGTGAACAGATATGTGCGGAAGACCACAGCAGGAGATCTTAAGTGAGCTGCAGGTATGACACAAGTCAGAATGGTATCTTAATAATCCAGTTGAGAACGAAGTAGTCGGGAACCTGGAGACAGAGGACAAGTACAGAAGACATCAGGCAGGTAGAATCCATAGGCCTTAGAATTCTGGCTTAGGCTGCCACTAGGAGTTGCTTTTTGCTGAGATAAGGGGTGAGGCAGGAAAGTAAACAGTTCAAAAGGAGATGGGGATTCAATTTGGGACATCTGAAGTTTGAGAAGCCCATGGAAGACCCAAGTAGAGACATCCCAGAAGCCCTTGCTTTCACTGGCTGGTAGCTGAGGAGACATGCCACAGAAGGAAACACACTGGAAGAGCTCACCGTGAACTCGAGTAGGGCTGGAGTCCTTCTGCTCTCTCACCCACTCAGGACCTCAATGGGTCTGCTAACTGAATGTGAAAGGTCAAGGCTCTCCTTTCACCCACCAGTCTCACAGCTGTAGGGGAACAGATCTTGCAGGTACCCTGAGCTGCCTTCTCTCTATGGCCTCAGGCATGGCTTGGTCCAAGACTCACTGAGGCAGGAAAGAAAAGTCCACACCTCTTCCTGCTAGCTCATCAGACTCCTTCACACCTACATCTCAGACCTTGGCCAGCCAATAACAGAATACCTGAAGAGGAGGAAAGCTTCCACATACCACGGATCTCTCTGCTTGAGTCTCCTCCGGGGTTCCCATTGACTAGGTGCATCCTAGTCTATCCAGTTGGGGTCCAACTGAATACCAGCTATTACTGGGGCTCGTTTAAAAAAGAAAAAGGATAGAAAACAAGAAAGAATGACCAGAGGGGTCTAAGATTAATGCCTTGGTTTTATCGGTCCAATGGTCACTGGTGACTTCACAGGGCTTGGATCAGGGGATGGTAGGGACCAGGGCACTGTGGGTTCAGGAGTCCACAGGAACCAGGAAAGTGAGAGCAGAACGTATATCACTCTATCCAGCAGCCTAGCCAGGAGGGAAGAAAAGACTGCCCAGCAGCAGAGACTCAAAAGAGCCTTGGACTTTAGGGAGAAGTCTGAAACATAAATGAGAGCAGAGTCTATGTGTAGGCTCAGGAAGAGAGCCCAGCAGGTGGGAGAGAATGAAAAGGGGTTCAGACTATAACAGGGCAGGGCGGGGACATAGAAGAAGGGGAAAGAGTCCAGAGATCAGCTTCGGACAAAGAGACCAGAAGGTAGGGGATGGAAGTGGGTTGGCAGCAGACCTGTGGTGCTCTGAAAGCAGAGGCCGAGGGATCCCGAACAGCAGCCTTGGCTTTCTCTGAGACACAGGAGGAGAGGCCTTCGGCTATCACCTGGGGCGGAGGGAAGGCAGCTGCCATGGAATAGGAGACTGGCACCAAAGAGGGATGCAAGAAGGGTCAGTACCAGAGGGAACAGAGCACCTGAGAGACCGTAAGTTGGTCTCTGACTCATCCAGCCACCAGAGATGCACACAGCACAGGCAAAGCTTACAGGGGTGAGTTACCTGGAAGTTCCCCTCTGGAAATCATGCCTGGATCTAGTTTATATGTGTCCTGAAGTCTCAGCAGGGCTTTGGCAGCTCCCGACTCATCCTCATCAGTGGGAAAGAACTGCCGCTGCACGGAGAGGTTGGCAATAAAACCTGCCGAGAAAGAATAAGAAGAGCTGGTCACCTTTAATCCAGGGGTAGAATCCCATCTGGGACCAGAGAGGCAGCTACTAGAAGATCTCTTGCTAATAGAATCTCCCTGTCCCTTCCCAAAAAGTGTTTTGGTGGGCTGGGAGCTATCAGTGGAAGGGGACTTATCTAGTATGTTCAAAGCCCTGGGTATGATCCCTAGCATTGAAAAAAAACCAAAAAACTTCCCTGATCACAAGATTTCTCCTTTCGTACACTTCTTTTCTAACTGCCTGTGCTGCTCATTTGGAACTGAACAGAAACAGCATGCATACTGCTTAGCATTTGGGAGTCTAGGAGTCACAATCAGGGGATAAAGCTCCCCGCTTATGGTGCCAAATTCCACAGCCTGGAGCCTGGGAGAGTCTCTGACCCCTCAACACCCCAAGAAGGCTCTTCTGGGACTCCAAGCAAGAGATCACCTCTTACAAGCCCAGGACTCAGGTGGGGCCCCGTCCTCCCAAACTCACTGAGGCCTTCAGTTCTGCTGAGAATGAGAATTAGGAAGAGAATTAGAGGGAGACTTAGAGCTGAGAATTAGGAGGGAAACCCCAAGACCTTCCTTCTCTGGCCCTTTCCCAAGAGCAGCAGCACCCACGGTGGGCTACTCTTACAACATGAGACTCAAACACCCATTTCTAGCCAATCCTTCAGACCCAGAAGGTATCAAGAAGCTGCTATCTTGTTTTCCTCGTGGCCAGGGACTTAAGAGTTTAGAATCCAGAAACAGAACGCATGACCCTAGAAGGAAACACACTACACTATCAGTGTGTCCCCCTTATTTCAGGGGCAAGAACTCAAAAGTCAGAGATGAAAACAACCTAATCCTCTCTGAGCCTGTCTGGTCCCCTTCCAGGTAATTATGAGGCTTTCCAGATGTGGACGGGGAGGGGAGGACGCACAGAACAAGATTAGAGTGGAGATCCAGTGCGCAGGCTCGGGCTCCTGCAGCGCAGGCGGAACAGCCTGTTCTGAGCCACAGCCCCGGCCGGGAGGCGTCGGCTCAGAAGGCAGCAATGGTTTCTGGAGACAGTGAGCTCACTGGGCACAGCTCCAGGCTGGCCAAGCTCACCAGTCCCTCCCTGGAGGCGTTCCTGCCCAGCAAAGTCCAACCCCGCCTGGCCACATGGGCTAGACTGTCTCAGCCGGAGAGACAGCTCGTCTGAGGTTCATCAGCACTCCCAGCTCAGGGACAGGACTCACGGCTGACCAGGGCTGGGCATCCACGAGGCCTGCTTCCTGGGCCGCCCCACCATCAGTGCATGTTGACAGGAAAGTGTTAGAGCACAGAGAGTGCTACCGCAGAAAAAGCTTTTTTAAAATTTGTGCTCTGACCTGTAAATACCATTTCTAGTTTCTCTAGAAAAATGATCTGAGATAGATATCAAGACATACATAAAAAAACGCAAGGTCCCGAGTTCAATCCCCAGTACCAAAAAAAAAAAAAGACATACATAAAAGATTGCTGATAATTTGGAAACAATCCCATGCCCGATGACCTGACCAATCTTACAGTGTAACGTCATGACAGATTATCATCCAGCCACTAAAATCATGCGGCAGAAGAACAGTTTAATACCACACAGAGAAGCTGGCGCTGGGTGTGGTGGCACATGCCTATAATCCCCAGCACTCGGGAGGCTGAGCCAGGAGGTTGAGAGTTCAAGGCCAGCCAAGGCTACAAAGCAAGACCCAGTCTCAAACCTCTGCTACTCCTTCCAACCAAAAAGAGATTCAGGGAAGAGGACACTCTCGTCACAAACCCACCAAAAGATCTGTTTTGTCTGTAAAAGACATAAATAGTTAAGAATTCAGATGGGGCTTAGCTTCCCAGCTTGCCTTGGTCCCAACACCCAGCTCAATTCACTAATTTTAATTAATTTGTCTCTTGAAGCAAATGAGTTTTCACCCCCTAGTAAATGCACGGCTCCTTTTTAAAAATGAATGTGTAGGAAGATTATAATTTTAACACTGCTCATCACCAGGCACTGCATCACTCCAGGCACCAGGAGTAAAAATACAATTTTCATGTGGGGTTCCGTCGTGTTTCCTAATGTTTCTATAAAAACATGTATAACTAAAGTATAATCATAAGAAATTCATTACAAAAAAATGGTACGTGAGGTGGGGGGAACAAAACACTACAAAAAGGCAAACACTGATTACTATTGTACATCTGCAAAAAAACAAGGACAGTCAACTGGCAGGACTCACGGAGAAGGGAGACAGCAGGACAGGCAGGTCTGCGGGCCCACACTGCCCTGTGCACAGATCCAAGCCCGCTCGGCACGACAGCCCAGGCAGAGGCACACACCTGGGCCACCTGCTCCCGGCCCTCACCTGCAGCGGAGTCCTGCAGAACAAGGTCCTCCAGGGCAGCCCAGTCTGTGTTCAGCCGCTTCACCAGCTTGTAGGCGTTCACAGGGTGGGCCACGTAGCCCTCAGGGTCCGCAGCTGACTTGCTGGTCAGGGCTTCCATTTTGCTGGCCCAACTGTGCAACCAGAGGAAAAGAAGAATAACACTCCACCCCCACGAGTCCTGTAGCAACTTTCCTGGTGAGACTGTTTTACCTTCATAAAGAGATAATAAAACATGAATATAGTAATCCCCACAGATCTCTCCAGCTCCTTCATCTAGGTAAAAGCTGGGAACTCTAATATAAGTACAAAAAAAAGTCTTAAGTAGAAAGGAAAAACACAGCCACTCCTTCACCTGCATACTTAGCTATTCCGGAGGACTGGCAGGAAGAAACCTCCAGGCCAGCCTCACGTCCCCCAGCTCTCTCCTATCCTGGATTCCTGGGTGGGTTCGGGGTAGGGGCAGAAGGCCCGGCTCAGGCTGGCTGTAGGGCCTTAGGACACTTTCACCTCTTAATCTTGGCGAGCTTGGCTTCTTCCACAAGGATGTACTCCTTCAGAGACTGCACCAGGTCTTTCTCTGCATAAATGAGGTCAGTCATGTGCCCTGCAGGAGGAAAGTAAAGGCCAGTATGAAACGGGTGAGGGATGTCAGCCCCTTTCCTTGGGGCATAAACATGAACACAAAAGCAAGTCCTTTGGGCCAAGGGTGTAACAGCTCTCTGGGAACCATGGAGATTTGGAGGAAAGGGGTCCAGGCACACATAAGGTCTCGGGCCTAACTCAGGAAGAGAAAGGCAGAGGTTCCAAGAATACAAGCAGGATAAGTGCACCAGGGGCTGCTCAAAGCAGAAGCCCCAAATCTCACTCTCCTGCCATTGCCCAGCTGATCTTGTTACTGGCACGGATATCCTAGGGCTCTGAAACTTCAGATGAGAAGGAGAGGAGGAGCTAAATCCTTAGGACACAGAGTTCACCACTCTCTGGCCCAGGGGAAGGTGGTCAAAGAGCCAAAGAGCCCATGTGTGGGTGCACTTCCCGGACGGGAAGGCATCATTCAGAGAGCTGGCTTGCAAGACATCAAGACATCAGGATCGCTGCTGGGAAAAGTAACTTTGAAAGTTCCACTCTCCTAAAACTGGGCAAAACCAATGGACGAGGCCATCCCACCCGAAGTGAGAACAGGCAGTGACAATAGTCTCGCTGCCACGTACCAACAGAAGTGAAGAATTCAGCCTGCACGGAGCTCAGGACACCAAACCAGGCCATCAGCAACGCAGACACCTGGAACTTCATGGTCAGAGAGGGCAGCATCTGCAAGGAATTCGGGACATTCCTTAGATCAACACAGTGAAAAAGAACAACTTAGATGAGGAGACACATACACTTGTGCACATAAACTCCTGGCCTAGCAAAAACTTCGAAGGGCATTCAGAATTAGCATGGAAAGAACACAGGGTATGAAATCAGGGATGTGTGCTCAATTCTGGCCCCTGCTCTGGGAAGCCATGTGCCCTTGGGAGGCCCCAGCCTCTCAACTCCTGGCAAAATAAGAAGACTGAATCAAGATGGGATACAGTCACTTATCAGTCCAAGACTGTGGCCCGCCCACCCCTCCTCATTTCACAGACTGTGTCTCTGTTTCTAACCTTCAACACATGTGTCAGGGTAGCACCAGGAGATCGGGATTTACCCTCTGCCAAAAGATCCTAACAGAACAGGAGAGACAATGACAGAAAGAGAACTTGATACAATACGCTCTGGGGACCCGACCCAAACTGAAGTGTATGGCAGATGGTCAGCCAGCAGAGAATAAACAGACTCTGCCAGTCTGCACCTGCAGAGACAGGGCCGTCCGGGGAGTGGCACTCCAGGGCAGACACTGCTGTAGTGAGCTCTTCCTGTAGTGAGCTCCTTGGCAGACACTATCTTGTCCTCATGGTCAGTTACCATTCATTCACAAATATCTACTGAGAGATGCCAGGCACCGAGCTAGGTACTGGGGATACAACCATCCAGCAGCCACACATGGCCAAAACCTCAGGCTGGACTGCTGACATGAGAAGAGGCCAGCTCCTGACATGCAGTGGCCTAGAAATAGACACAGCTCTGGGGGAGGCAGGTACAACCTGAAGCAACCCTCACTGGCACAGGGCCTACAGGCACAATGGAAGCTTCAGACATCATCTCCCAGCTCAGCTCTCAGACTAGAACGTGCTGGAAGCCCAGTACTCATCTAAATTCCTGCTCTGTCTGTCCTTCCCCTTCTTGCTCCACTTCAGCCAAGTCCCATGGGAATGTTCAATTGGAAATTTACTGAGAAAATAAAGGAAATACAAATGCTTTGCCCAAAAATGTAAGCCTTCTCCAGCAGAATTCTAAGCCTGAGCTAATGTTCACCACTTTCTGCCTGCCATGGTCAATCAGACACACAGTCACTCTTACCATTCCTCATCTGACCCTTGCAGAAGAAATCCCAACCTGCTATGGCTCCAGGTTAGGCTCAAAGATCACCCCAAACCCCCATCCCCAAACAAGTTGCTCTGTCAGGAAGAGGACAGCATAACCAAATGGCCCTGTGTTCAGAACTGACTGCATGCCTATCACAGCCCAGCTGTCGGGCTCCAGAGACACACAGGGGAATTATCTTCCAAGCCAGAACTTGCTGTTGGGCATGGCCTACTGGGCTAAGGGGTCCATTATGGGATAAGGGCAGCAGAACAAAGCAAGTCACTGAGAGACGATAAGCAAGCCTGGGCGAGCCCTGCGGCAGACCCAGGCCCTCTGGGTCCGTCTGGTCTGCTTCCAGGCCTCACTCCTCACCTCCTCCAGGCCAGGATTCCAGAAGGCACTCTTCTTGCTTCCCTGAGGCCGTTTCACTAAGGGAAATGGGTTTCTGTTTCTTGTCCTTGAAGACACTTGACCATCTCAGGATAGTAGCTTTTGTGCATATACAGGGAAGGCGCAGGAAAAATTCAGAGCCAGGAGGATCTGTGAACAGTGGGGGACCAGCCAGCTGCCCCTCAGAGCGGGGGCGGTAGGAGAGCAGAGTCTAGGCAGGAGACCAGACTAGACAGGGTTGGAAGAGGAAACCCCAGCACTTCTTCCCCGGTGTGTTGCCACCCACAGTTGTATAACTCACAGAGATTAGGCAACAAATTCATGCGAAAGGGAAGCTGCTCTATTCCTTTCAAATCACCCCAATGATACCATCCATGATTTGTACCTTACAGCATTCAGGAGAAAGCAGCCAGGTTTCTTTATTACAAGAATACCAGCTGTCATTTCTCTGGAATGTGCTGTTTGGCTTAGACTAAGCCCATCTATGAATCCAGGCCTGGACTCAGGGCCTCAAAGAATCACAGATGGGTTTTAGGAAACGACTTTCCAAGAGCCTGCAAAGTCCTGCTCTGGCAGGAGAGGGGGAAGATGACTCTGCCGGCCCAAGCACCTGCACACCTCCAAGCAGCTCCCAGACTGCCACATCCACACTGCCATCCCAAGCAGGGGCATCTTGGAGCCTACCCCATTCTGATCCTGGGCCCCTGAACTCATCTTGGAACAAAAGGTCACCTCAATTAGGGTCACGCTGGGAGAAGGATCCAAGAGGGACTACGTCCTACACTATGGGAAAGGATAACCCCCATCCCACCTTCCACCTGCAGCCAAAGCTTGTTTAGGATAAAGCAGGTTGGAATATCCTTCCCAGTTCCCCACAAAGTATCCAGTGCTGTCAAAAGCAACCCCAGGAACCCTCAGAAATCCATGCAGAGGGCTGGGGATATAGCTCAGCAACAGAGAACCTGCTTAAAATGTTTGAGGCCCTAGGTTCCACCCCGAGCACAACAAATTAAAAAAAGATAAGGAAGAAGAGGAGGAAGGGGAGGGGAGAAGAAGACAATAAATAAATCTAGGCAGATTAGGTCTGAAGATGGACAATGTCAAACCCCCTTTCATGAGAACCAAAGTGGTACTAAGCCTGAGCAGAAAACCTGGACAGAGCTTTATCTGACCTATATTTAGAGTAATAGAATAATGCCTGTCCATATCATGTGCCTGACAAATAATTCTTCATCACAGATTTGTTCAAATTAGGAACTACAACAGATTTTACATTTCTTCCATACAGTGAATTCTTAAGGAGTACATAAGAACAAAAACATGCAGAGATCAAAGCATACTGTGAGAAAAGCAGGTTTCCCCAAAATATTGATTTGATTTTGGTGAAGAAAAACTAATGCGTGCATATATGTGCAAGTAGAGAGCTGTCTTTTAACTGTGTCTTGGTAATTTTATTTTTCTTTTTTATGCTGTTTATTTTCCTAATCTTTCTACAAGGAATTATACAAGAACTTTAAAAATATTTTATAATATGCTTAAAATGTAAAGGAAACAAAGCAGGCCCTTCTCAGGCCAAAACGGGCCCTGGCAACTCCAGATTTAGAGCCCCCACAGGGAGGTCCTGAAAAACCTGCCAACACCCAGCAACAGTGATTCACCCACCAGGCAACTGGCACTGTTTCTAAGCGCAGGACAATTCCAAGACATACAACCAGAGGTCCTCCCAAGCCTGCTCTTTGGAAAGGACATTTACAAGCTGGCCAAAGACCATGAAAAGATGCTTCCAGCTGCAAACCAGTAGAATTCTTAAGCTTCTCCCCTTGCCTCATCAGGCAGGGCCCTCTGCCAGCCTCCCAGCTGCAGCCCAAATCCAACAGCCTGAGTTGTAACAATGTACTTAACAGCCTAGAGACAGAACATGAGTTTGCTGAGAACAAACAGGTCTTTCTCAGCACTGAATGGACAAAACCCTGCCTGCATTCTGTGAAGAGGCAACCTCTCTGAACAGGGCTCCTGAGGCCCAAGCCCTGCCATACACCACGCACCATGGCCCTGCCTCCCATTGCTGTGGCCAACTCCAGCACTGCAAAGCTGAAAAGACCTGCACGCTCAGCCTAGAAGGAGTTATACAAAAGCTCCAGGAAGGCCCACTACCAAAGCACACGGATGCCCATTCAGGCCTAGAAGCTACTGGCACTGGCTCCCTGGGGAAGGGTGAGAGGCACCAACTCTTCTCACCTAACGTCGTGCCTCAGTCACCACCCTGATGTGAGCCACCCCAAACCCCCTTACAGCCAATGTGCTCTGACCTCTCCACATCTCATCCGGCTTTGCTCCCAACTCTGTCCCAGGAAGTACTCAGCACGGCTTACTGGATGGAGCTCTCGACCAGCAGCAGAATAACGTCCAAACCCCTTAGCCTGAAGGGCCCTTGTAACTGTGTGGCCTTACTCTGCTGGCCCCGCCAGGCCCAGTTCACAACCCCAGGTATCCTATCTTCAACAACTCCTTCACCAAGAACCTAGTGAAACCTAGATCTGTGCTCAATGTGTGTTCTTCCCTTTCCCCAAATGTTTTTTTGAATCCCATCCCTTGCTCTGTAAGTAGTCATCTAAGAATTATCAGTGGAGCAACTCCCTGGGGTTTGACTTTCCCCCTCATCAGTAGAGGAAGAAGGGGCCTGACAGGCCCTGGCAAGGATGGATGAGGCTGCATATGTCTGATCACAGGTATCTGTCCTTATACCTTCTCTGTCCAGTACATGAACATATTGATTTCCGCTTCCCCACTTAGGTACCATCAACTCCACAGAGCTCCTGCTTCAGCAATCAGATGATGAAGCAGCAGTGAAGGCTGTTAAAGTCAAAGCGCAACGCCAAGTTGCGTTTCCAGGCAGGGTCTTCGCAGAGACTTGCAATGTGGGTGGTCCTAACTTATGAGGAGGATTTACACCTGAGGAGAAAATCCATGCACCGCTGTGCTGAAGGCACCTTACATACTGCCTCATCCTCTTGTGACCACACCCATGTCCTAGGCCATGGGCTACTCCCTCTGCCTCAGTCCAGTGGAAGAGACTGTGCAGACCCATTCTGGAATCTCTAGAACCTCCCACCACTCCAGACTGGCCTCTGCAGTGGCCCCAGAAGGGATCTAGTGCAGACTGAGGGAAAGTTAACTCCCCATGAGCCAACTCTGGCCAAGGAAGAAGATAAGTTGGCAGATAAATTCTTTCTATAGGCCTTCTACAAGAAACTCTTCCCACGCACAGAATTCCTACAGCACTTGCACATAGAGTCCCTGAACAACGTTATCCCTCTCTACAGCGTGGCCAGCTTGCTAAAGCATCGCCTTGTATTTGCTTCCCGTTCTTCCAGACCTTGCTTTTCTTTTCCCTCACCTGGCCTGCAATACACTCTCCAATAAAGTACTAAACACTGACGTTCTGCCTCAGGCTCTGTTTTCCGGGACCTGGTCTAAGATAACCACAATTTATGTTTCCAAAAAATATTTCATTTCTATCACCTAATTCTCACCAAAGCCTCACAGGCTAGATAATCATCTCTACTTCAGATAAAGTAGTCCCCCTTGTCTTGGAAGGATACAGTCCAAGAGCCCCCATGGATACCTGAAACTGCAGCTAGCATCAAATTATGGATAGTTTAATTTACAAATAATGCACAAAGATTACCAACAATAACTTTTAAAATAAAATAATTACAATAATACACTATAATAAAATTGCTAGTGTTGCTACTCTTGCACTTTGGAGCCATTGTGAAATAAAATAAGGGTTACTTGAACACAAACACTATAATACTGTAACAATCAAATTGATAAAACAGAATAGCTTCAAGGTGATGAAGTGACTAACAGGTACTCCAACCTGCTCGTTCCAGGCTCTTTCAAGTACCATGCCTTGGGATCTTCACCACTCCCGGCTCTCAGGCGTACCAGGTACAGAGCAAGTGTTCTTAGCAAGCACTTCCTGAGAGGTTTGGAGCAGAGCCTGGTCTATGACCAGGCTCAGACAAATCCTATTAAAACTGGGGAACACGTTACCCAAACAATCCTCTGCCCTGCAATGACACCAATTCAACAAATATGCTCTTCTAGCGCTCCAAGAAGTCTAGTTCAGACTTTTCATCCCTCTCCACTCTTTTTGAGAATAAAAAAACTATCTTCCCCTCATGACATGTCCCCGACAGAAAACCCACAGACCACAGGCCTCACCGGCCCCCTTTGCTCTCGGGTATGCTGATGTCTCACTTTCAGGCACTTCAAAAGTTCACATTGAAAGCTTTGAGCAACTTTTTGAAAGTTTAGCTTTCACTCCAGGACTCTGCTGGGCTTACACGTGTCTGCGATACAGCATTTCCTGCCAACCTCCATCTGCATAAAATTAAACTCTTGACAGATCCCAAAGGCCAGGGATACACCCACCAGCCCTTTGCACACTATCAGCCAGCGTGGCCATGAGTTGTCCAAGGCCTAGCATCCAACTTCAGACCCTCCCAAAGATGTGGGGGGAGCAGAGTCAAAACGGGAGGCTTTCTCAGGAAATGAAAGGACCCTGGATTCCTGTACCCTAGTCATTCGTCAGAGCTGCACACCCCCTGTTTCTCTTTTGATAAGCACTCACACGCCAGGTTCCTCCCCTGGTACGTGGCCAGCTGCCAGCCTGAAATAGCAATCTCAGAGAGATTAGGAGCTACCATGGGCAAGAACTGTTCCTTGGCCAACTCTTCCCCATCCTCCCTCATCCCACCCCCTGGCACATTCTAGACAGAAACAAGCACGAAGGAGGAACCCAAGGAATGAGCGGACATCAGCAGTTGCTGGTCTAAGCAAGTGGCAAAGTAAGCACTCTCTGGGACACTCCGTTGTAAAGCCTGAGACAAGACAGGAGAGCTTATTACAAACCACAGACAATGCCTCTGTTTGGTTGTCACCGCGTCTGCCTGCTGAACACTCCTCTCAAAGAACTAAAGAGGGTCAGTATGACAACATCTTTGGGTTAAGGCCCCCAGCCAATTCACATCTTTCCTACGTGGCTTTACTGGCTGAGACACATAATGGACATACTTGGTCATGTGAAAAGAGGCCTCTGGGAGAATTCATAGACCAACATCCCATGAGTGAGGAGAAGCAGAGAGCCTGGATCCTGCGGCACAGCACCACAGTGAGAGGCTGCACTCTGGACACTTCATGGGCAGCTTAAGCACCAGCCAAAGGAACTCCTGGGACATGTAACAGAGAATTAAATCTTGGAAGCTGTTGTCTCAGATGTGATACAGGCTGACAACAAGCAGCAGCCTGCAGGAACATCCTCTGCAGGTAGACAGGTAGACAATGAATCTGTGAAGTCTGGGGCATCTGAGAAGGCCTAAAGCTACAAAGTGATGCCCCAGCCCTCCATCTTAGGGCCAGGATCTCCTCCCAAAGGGCTAGGACTGACAGGCCCCAGGGAGCTGCATCAAGAAGCACAAGCCTAGGGCCAGGGGTTTAGCTCAGTGGTTCCAGCACCTGCCTGGCAAGTGCAAGGTCCCCAAGTTCAATCCCCGGCACCAAACAAACGAAGCACAAGCCTCAAGTGTCACTCTACAAAAGACACGATTGTCTGGGGAGCAATCCCAGGGCTGTCCTACAACATCTTTTTTTTGGTACCGGGGATCAAACTCGGGTCCTTGTGCTTGCGCAGCAGGTGGCGAAACCACTGAGCTAAATGCCCAGCCCTATCCTACAGCATCTTATATGTGTCACATTATAACAGAGCTGCTCAGCCCCGCTCAGCAACCCCTGAGGCAGAAAGTCCCCAGTTCCCCAAGGCACATCCCACAAACAGGGCCCAGCATCTGGGGCTGTCCTCGCTCCGGGCTCCTGTCGGGGGATCCGTGGGTAGCTACTGCACAAAGTGTGGCTTCCTCGGCACCTTGCTTCCACTAGACAACCACAGATGCTGCTGCCCCAACTCTCGCACTCACAGGGGCTGTTCTCGGGGCAGGCTCCCTTCTGCCAGCCTCTGCCTGACCTCTCAAGGAAGCCCTCGGCCTGAGGCATCCAGACTTCTCCCAGGTCCTCCCAGCCCTCGCTCCGCGCCACCGCAGGACTCACCACACTGCTCTGGGCCTGGACTTTCCCGGTCTTCCGGTCGCTTGCCCACTGGACTAGCCGCTCCTTGCAATTTCTGTCCAATCAGTTAACTAATCACCGCGGGTCTCCGCAACTGCTGAGGAAAAGCAAGCAGGTTGAGGTTCACCAAGGGTGTCCAGAAGAGAAATGTTTTCTTATCCAGCGGCCCCCTAACAGGCACCGAGCTGGACCCCGCCAGGCGTGGGCTGAGGGGGGACCCTAACCCTGAGCAGCCCCGGGCCTGGCCGACGCCCTGAGCCCGCCTCCGACCCCGGGAGCCCGACGGGCTGGACGGCCAGGCGCCCCGCCCCGGCCGCCGAGGGACCGGCAGGAAGGGCGCCGCTGACCTCACGCCCTGAGCTCGGGAAGGGACGCGGGCGGGACGGGAACCCGGCCCGCGCAGGGCAGGACGGAGAGAGGCGCTGTGACCCCGGACTGCGCCGCGGGCAGACCCCGGCCCGGCCGCCCGCTCCCGCCCGCGCGAGCAGCACGCAGTGTCCGCGCCCCCGCCGCGGGTCCCGGCACCGACTCGACCCGGCCCCGCAGGCGGGGCGCGCACCTGGACGCGCCCGCTCCCCGCGTTTCCAAAACCTCCCGCGGCGCCGCCGGCCGCTGTGCATCTGCACCCCCTCCCCTCCGCCCCGCCTCCCGCCGCCCGGCGCCCGGCGCCGCCCCTTGAGCCGTTGCCACGTCTCCACCTCCGGCCCCTGGGCCGGCTCCGCGCGCCTGGAGTCCCGCCGCGGGGGAGGCCCAGGCCCGGCCCCAGAGCCGAGCGGGCCGCGCGCCAGCCCCGACCCGGCCCGCCCTGCATGCCGCGCGCCGGCCGCCGCACGTCCGCTGCGTTCGCTGCCTCGGGCGCCCCCACCTGTGGGACTGGCGCGCCCGCGCTGCCGGGGAGCGGGGAGCGTCCGGGGCGCTGGCGGGCGGGGCCTCGGCTCCTGCCCGGTCCCTGCGGGCGCTGCCGGGTACAGGGCCCCTTCTTCCCCTCAGCACCCGTTTCCACCACCAGGTTACGGGAGGCTGGGGCCCCAGCGGCGGGAGAACTGGGTGTCGGGGAGGGGACAGTCCACTGGAGAAGGCCTCGAGGAAGACGCGGACCTGGGGCGCCTGCCCTGGAGACCAAGTCGAGAAGAAGGGGCACAGACCCAGTCAGTGAGCCCGGTGGACTGCCGAGCAGTCGGGGTCAGCGAGGGAACGCCACGCCCGGGGACGCGGCGGGGCAACCCAGCGCTTCCCAAACTCTCCTCACCGCACAGGCCAGAGGACTAAAGCTCGCCTGAGTGGAGGAAGCCCTGGCACCCGGCGGTTCCCACGCCTGCTCCGTGAACCTGCCTTCCCATGAACGAGGAGAAGCGCAGCCCGAGAATCTCATCAGGGAGCACTGCCCAGCCTCCACCGGGCCCAGTGGGACGTTCCTTGTGGCATACCGGCCAGGCGGGCAGCCCAGGCCCGGAAAAGAGCCGCGTGGAAACACGGCACACGTGAGAAACAAGCCATCATTGCTCGCCCAAAAGCAAACAAACTTTCGTCCATCTGCTACCTTCTGTTATGCCACAGAAACCTGCCCTCAGCCTTCCCAGAACCTCCCATTCCCTGCCCCTTTTGAGGATCTTGCCCTGTGGATCATCCCTTCCCTCTCCTGAATGTTCAATTTCTTCCTCTCAACTGGATCTTCCCCATCGGCCTACAAACATGTTGAAGCCTCCGTTATGGAACTAAAAACGCTCATCTGACCTCACCAACTCCTGGGTGTCTCCCTTCAACCACAGAGGGCAAGAAAGAGCTGTCTGTCTCCTTGGCTTCGCCTCCCTCCCTGTTCCTCAGACCTTGCAGTTAGCCTTCTAGCTCCTTAACACAAAACCAGATCTTAGTAAATTCTCAGTGATCTCCAAATGTCTAAAATCCAACAACCATTCCTCAGTCTTCTGCCAACTCCCCAAGCTTTTACACCCCAGCAGTGACCCTTCCCCGCTTGGAACTCTCGGGTCTCTTTAGATCACCTCTTTAGATCATCCTTTTTTTTATTCTGTTCACTGAGTTGCTAAGTTGTCCCAACTGGGCTCGAATTTGTGACCCTCCTTGCCCAGCCCCCCAAAGTGCTGGGAGTGCAGGCGTGCACCACCACACGCTGCTCCTTCATCCTTTGGCTCCTTGCTACCCCTGCCCAGGCTTCTTCCTGTCATCCTTCTGTCCCACTCTTCTCATTAGTCAGCAATGGTTGGAGATTCTTCAAAGCTCAGCCTTAGGATATCGCTTTCCTCTTCTTGTTCTATAATTCTTCCCTATGCACAGATGACCCACAGATTACTCTCTTTGTCCCTGTCATTCCTCCTCAGCTGCAGACTGCTCAGTCTACATCTCCAGTTGAGTGTCCACACATACCTCAGTAGCAACAAGGAGAGATTATCCATGGCTTAACTCACCAGAAGCCTTGGAGTCATAAATAGCTCCTCCCTCTCCCTTGTTCCCAGACCCTATCTATCCATATCCCAAGACTGTTCAGTTCTGCCACCTAAATCTCTCTAATCCACCATTTTCCTCTCTTCTGTTTCACTTGAGTGATTACAACTCTTTTTCAGTCGGCTGCCTCTCCGAGTTTGCTCCTTCCCACCTCTCCTCCAATGGCAGTCTCAGTAATCCTCACAAATACAGATACGCACTCATGACTTGCAGCTAAAGAAAGTGTACTGCTCTTAGGAAAAACCCTAAAAATGGTCTATAGGGCCCCATATGCTTTGTGCTTATGTGTCTAAGCACATTGATATTCCTCTGGTCTCTCTAACTGACCATACCCTCTCCAGAAAAATTTCCCCCTCCCTTATTAAAGCCTTCAGAATCCTTCAGATTCTCTCAAACAGAAGGATTCTCCTCACTTCCCTGACCAGGCCAGAACTTGCCATAACAGCCTTTCATGTCCCTGTGTGCTCTGTAACACTGGCCATAGTGGGTAGTTGAGTAAGTGAATATTGTCTTCCCTCATTGGCCTTGGAGCTCCAGAAATACATAAACTATGTGTGTCTTTGTCCATCACCCTTTTCTCTTCATCCGCTACAGAAATAGACTCAAACTATTTCCTGACTACATGAAGGGATGGATATACTCTATAGACCTTGTTCTGTGAAGTAGGTTTTGGTAGGCTAAGGTCTCCATAGGGTCTCAGAGTCCCAGAACCTGAAGACCCCATTATGGGTCAGATATCCTCCTAGAAATCTGAGCCCCTGAAAAGAGGAAGGACTTGCTAAGAGTAATGTCTTGGTCTCCACTTCCCCCTGCTTTGCAGGAGGTGACCACTTATTCATTCATGTGTTTTGTCCCTCTAATTGCCCCTACCTGAAATATACCATCTCTAATTTTGGCCTTATGGTCCCACTTTATTCACATAAACCACAGAATAAGATCTTCAGCCTCCATCCTAGTCCCTTCCTAGGAATGCCATAACAAATTACCACAAACTGTGTCTTAAAACAATGAAATTTAGTCTCACAGTTCTGGAAGCCAAAAGCATGAAATTAAGATTTTTTACAGGACTGCACTCCCTCTGAGGGATATAGGGATATATTCTTTTCTGTCTTAGTCACTTTCTTGTTGCTGGAAGAAAATACTCAACATCCACAACCTAGAGGAGAAGTCTGGCTCATGATTTCCATCCATGGTCCACTGGTTCCAAGGCTTCTAAATGGCAGAGTGCAAAGATAGAACAGCAATAGTTGTTCCACCCATGGCAGCCAGGAAGCAGAAAGAAGGGAGGAGCCGGGGAGGGAGATATAACTGTCCAGGTTCCCAATGACCAACCTCCAACCAGCCCCTCTCCCAAATAGTACGTTCAGCTACTGAACTCAATAGATGAATCCACTGATGAGTGTAGCACTCCCATGATACAAGCACCTTCCAAACACATAATTTGAAGGGAACATTTCAGACCTAAACTATAATATTCTGCCCTTGCCACCCTTGCCCCAAGACTCATGTCCATCTCGATATGCAAAATGCATTTAGTTCATCTCTAAGAGTCACCAAAGTCATAATAGTTTCAGCATTGCTGAAAAGACCAAGTCCAAAGTCTTTTCTTAGACTCAAGGCAAACTCTTAGCTTTGATCCCCTGTAAAAATCAGAAAGAAAGTAACATACTTCCAACATACAATGGCACAGGGTAAACATTCCCTTTTCAAAAAGGAAAAATAGGGATATAAAAAGCAATCAGACCAAAGTAAGACCAAAATCCAATAGGGCAAATCCCGGAAGCCCAACATCTGGGAAAAGTTGTGGTGAGACATGAGTTCCAAAGGGCTTGGGCAGTAATATCCCTATGGAAGTGCCAGTTACAGCCTATATGGCCTCTGTCGTGGGTAGACTCCACTGGTTGCCTGTGGCTTTCCTCAGCAGATGATCCACATTTCTGGCATCTCCAATTTCACAGAGTCTGCACTACACTTTGACCTTCACTCTCGCAGCCTTATACACTGTTCTCTCAGGTACATATTGGCTGGCCTCCCAGGCCTTCTTCTTAAATCTGGGTGGAAGCCTCTTTGAGCCCACAACGCTTGCATCCTGAATGTCTGTAAAACTAGCACCACATGGATGATGCCAGGGTCTGCCACCAGCTCAAGCAGTAGCTAGGTCCCCTCGTACTATCTCTGCAGTGGCTTCTGAGTGCCTGTGTGGCTGAATTCCAGGAAATACTTTCCCAGGCAGCCCTGAATGAGCTGGGCTTCCTGGGGCTCTCTTCTCAAAGTAAAGGTTTACACTTTTACAAATTTGAGATTGTATTTGTTGGGTCTTGCTGATTCCTGAGATGCCTTCAAGCCATCTTTCTCATTGTCTTGATACAAAACACTTGGGTTCTTTTTAATGCTAATATTTTTAGAGACTACACTCTCCGTGGCCTCAACCTTGTACCTGCTTCCTTTCTGATGAAATTGCAAACTTTTCACATCTGCTTTTGGTTCCTGATTTTCACTGTAGATCTGGGTAAGAGCAGCCAGCAGTACCCATGCCACAGTCTGAATGTTGAGCTGCTTTGAAATTTCATCCATCAGAATAATTAGTCCATTGTCCTAAATCTCAGTCTCCGACAAAATCTGAAGACATGGACAAAATGAGGACAAATTTTCTGCCACGGTGTAACACACACGGCCTCTAGTCCAAATGTCAGTGGAGTTGTCAACCCCTACAGAAAACCTCTTGAGCCTGGCCTTTACTGTCTGCATTCCTTTTAGCATTGTAGTTTTCTGAGCTCTGACAAGAATCTCCCATCAATCTTTGCTTACTCTGTGTACAGCTTTGTAAGGCTTC